ACGTCCACTCATCAGGTTGTATGATGTGTCTCCTACGATCCAGGTTTTTAAGATCCAAGTGGGGTATGGTGAAAGTTAGGAAAATTAAGCCCATCGGTGTTGGGAAAGATTTAGGGAGGAAAAGAAGTTGTAATATACTGTAATACACTACAAGTGGATCAGGAGATACTTATTTCTAAAACTACCAACAAGCTGAGAGAAGCTGCAAAACGAGTAAGACATGGTTAACCACCCTCAAAAAGTGCAAAATTTACATGTAAATAAAGATTCCTACAAAGGTGATTACAATAGAGGTGGTGACTGCATTCAATGATCAATCCCTTATTCCAGCAAGAAAGGCAGGGGCTGCCTTCATCAATAGGAACAAGCCCTTGCACTTACATAACACCCGCGGTGGGTGGCTAAATAAAGGATGCCCCTCAGGGACCGGGCTCCATCACTATCCCACCACCCTCGATCTGTCTAGCCTCGGGAGTATCCCTTCCCAGAGATCAAACCCCCGGGCTAGAACGGGTCCCCAGGACCCTCTTTACAACTGCAGCCAACCCACCGACTCGGCCGCGGCTTCCTGCTCATCCACCGCCAGGGCCCACGAGTCTGTGGCCATGGTCCGGGCAGCGAGGGGGAGGCGAGCGAGGAGTCCGCCGGGCAGTGGGGCGCGATCGTGGGTGCCGGGAGCGGCGTCAAGACCAGCGGATCGAACCCGGGAGCAGAGCAGCACTCTCCAGGTGCTGGGGCCGGAAGCGGCGCGCCGCAGTGACGTCAGAGCCCGCGCCGACGCGCGCTCCCAGCCTCCCTCGGGCGGCAGCTTTGGGCGCCGTCACATGCCCTTCCCCGCCTCCAGGCTGCCCCTTCTCCAGCGAACAGCCAGACACAGTTACCGCAAAGTACCTAAACGCCTGTTATCTACACTCCATCCTACCAAAAAAACACCACTAAAAACACATTCCGAACCAGCTCGGGCACAGGTGACATTAACGCAGCAAGAAAGAATACCATTAGATAGTCACCGAAATGATGCACACGGAAGACAAGTAAACGGTTGTTGCACACTCACTCTCTTCGGCCACCAAAGCTCACAGTTCGATGATTAGCAGGGATGCGACAGGACGGAGAGAGGAGTACAATATTAGTAAACAGGTAACAGACGTTTATTAAGACGAGTAAAGGGAAAGGCAATATATAATAAGGAGATGGCCAGTAGAGTGTCTCTAAAGAAAGCGATGACACAGAAAGAGGTACACAAGAAATACAGAAACAGCACAGATATTGGCAGACAAGCAGGACAAACAGACTTGGACAGGGAGAAAAGACTACAACCATTACCATATAGAGGGTGTGGCATATTAACATGCTGTAAATACTTGCACGTACATAGTAGAGCCAACGGGGAAATGCTTTTGTAAACTGTTCAATTATAACCAACCTCCCCCCCAAAAAGGGAATGAGCTGTTGGTTCTGGGACCTTGAGACCATAGTCTTTCAGGACATCAAGGACAACAATTACAACATAGTCAACACGTTCCTGACTCTGAGACCAGAAAAACTGGATAGTGCCGTTGCTGATCAGTCTAAAAGAAACCACTACACAGTCTTGGATGACTGTTGGCTAGCCACTGAACCAGAACCCACCCACAGCAGGACCCTCGAGTGGGTTTTCAGAGTAAGTGACACAGGAAGAGACTCTTCACCTTCTCCCACAGCTGGTGGATTTGAACCTTGTACCTTGGGACAGACTGGAAGAAAAATGAGGACCAAAACTCAAAAATAAAGGCAGGCTTTCTGGCCCTACAGAGATGACAGAACCCTCCCACACTGTATGACCCTTAGTCACCTTTCAAACATGAAAACAAACCTTCTATTGTTGTTGCTGACTGCCATCGAGTCAAGATTGACTCATAGCAACTCTATGACCAAAAGACCTAATGCCTTTCCACAGCTAACTTTGTTTCCCCAAGTTCATAAGAGTTTGCAGAGGCATTGGTTTAGGAAGTGGATGCCACTCCTGCTTCCCAACCTGTTGTACAACTAAAAGCTTGACCAAACACTGTCCACAATGGGAAACCATTAATATCCCCACGGCACAAGGTTCAGCATCACAGTATTGTAGGTATTGTAATTAATGTTAAAAAACCAAAATGTACATGAGTGATTTTAGGCAAAATGAGTATATTTTGTAATCTTTCACTCAAACCACAATTTTGTTAAAAAAGAAAATAGCGCACAATTTCCTGCAACTTGGGAAAATGATTCCCAATGTTGACAACATGTCCACTTCAAGCAACAGTTTGGACCTATATGGGACGTGACTCCACGTACCATCATTTTCATTTCCACCTGAGCACGACGGGGGTTAGCTAATTGGAAGGGTTCTTTGATACTCTGCAGGTGAAGATGTGAAGCCACCACAGTGGGAAGAGCCATCACCAACAAATGTGACAGACCACCCTTGGAACCTTCTGTCAGGGAAATTCTATTGCTTCACAGGTGTAAAGAATCTTCAATGATCACTTAATGAGGTTAAGGATTAAATCGCCCAACGTGCAGGACTGGGCAATACCAAACAATCGTAACACACCTGCTTACATATCCAAAGGGAAAGGAGAAGATAAATAACAAAACCTGATAGCAGCACCTGCTCCTAGTGTATGTACGACATGGGGGAAGTGGCCCTGATCCTACCTTATGGGAAAGGAACACGGACTAAAAGCAAGGAGAAATCAACATGAGAGTTGCAGACTCTCCAACGTCCACTCATCAGGTTGTATGATGTGTCTCCTACGATCCAGGTTTTTAAGATCCAAGTGGGGTATGGTGAAAGTTAGGAAAATTAAGCCCATCAGTGTTGGGAAAGATTTAGGTTCCCGTAGGTAACGTCAGTTCCCTCCAGGATCGAGGCAAGGCCCCACCTCGTGGTGTGAGAACTCAATGAGGTCAGAACGTCCAGTTTTTGGCTCAGTTGAAGACCCCGCGTTCTTTTTTCGATTACCTCCCCTCCCCTCCTCCGTGCTGCTGGGAGCCGAGCCCTTTTGTAATTCTCTAAGGACATGCCTGGACGTGTTGCCTCATCCTGGGAGGGCAGGTTTCGTCTGCTGGGAACACCCAACCTTCCTTCTTTCCACTCCCCCCACTGTGTTTCAGTTTACCCACTCTGGGAGGACAGGATAGGTACTGCTAAGTAACCTTACTTCTCCTTTCCACTCCCCTCATTCGTTCTCCTATATATATGTCTGTATGATTTCAATAAAGTCGAGACTTGATCGGAAATTTCGTCTTGTCTCAATGTCTCTTTGTCTCCTGCGCCCCCCATTCTCTTTCTTCCTCTCCTAGGGTCACCTTTGAATGTCCCCGCGGGCCGGGGCACCGTGCGGTGTGGGAAGACGCCTCAAACGTGAACAGGGTTAGTCTACTACTCCCTCCTAACATACTCACGTCCTTCACGGGCAGGGTGAGCGCAAAGCGCCCCAGGGAGCGGCTTCGGATGCGGCCAGCAGGGCCGGCCATCGCGGCTCAGCATGGCGGTTATCGTCCTCCAACCGCCACTTGGCCACTCGGAGACCCCGCTAGCCCAGCCTCCTCGGCTGAACGCGGCCCTCATTGGCTGAGGGCTGGAAGCGGGTCCCTCCAGCCAATCAACGGAAGAGACGGCGCAGCCGGGGAGCATGCGCACTTGATTATTTTAGGGCCCATCGCTTCCCCGGATGTTGCTCTTTTCTTTTTCTTTTTTTTTTACATCTTTTTTGCGAAATTGAGTTCTGGTGGCTTAGCGGTAAGAAACTATGCTGAGATTCTGAAGTCACTTGGTTCAAATTCACCAGCTGCTCTGTAAGAGAGGGATTGCGCACTTTCCTCCTATGTGATATTTGCCTCGATTGCACACGACACCACCATTTATATTGAAGGGGAGCTCTTGTGGCCTAATAGGTAAGGAGTTACGCTGCCAACCTTTAAACGTAGGCTGTTCGAATCCACCAGCTGCCTCACACAGAAAGATGGGGGTTTTGAAAATCTGCCAGAGGGCTGTGTGTGCGTGCTTTGAATTTCCTACTTAGACTAGGACGAGGGTAAATAAAGCTTTTTCGTCTATATGTCGATAGTTGTAGATGGGCTTTCAAGCTTTTTATTCATAGCGTCACTATGTGTCATGCTTGACTTGAAGGCAATCAACAACAACTAATTTTATGTGTATTCTGTTGAAACACAGAGTGCTGAGAATTGAGACAGATTTGCTCTCAGGTGGTTTGGATTTGTTATCAGGAGAGGGCCAAACCGTGAACAAATAACATGCTTTATAAAGAACAAACTCTAACTCATTCATTGCTCATTAAATTGGAATTGACCCACAGCTGACCCTCTAGTGGGTTTTCAGAGGCTATAAGTCACAAGCAGGGTTGTGTCATCTGCATAACGCAGATTGTTGATAAATCGTCCACCAATCTTGACCCCACATT